GTTGTCTAAAGAAAATATCTAATTAATTTTATTTAAGCCTAAAATTCACAAAACCGTTATAAATCACGAAAACAAAACATATTCAAAATAGTTCTTTCAATTCTTTCAATAGTTTTTAATGGTCAGATGGTCAGTTTTTAATTAGAGATGGGAGGAAAAATATTAAGTCTTATATTAAATGCTTTTGAGTTTTCCCGCAACTGTTTTGCGTTCCCCCAAGAAACTTCATTTGCTCGCAAAATGTTCCCAAGAAAATTTGCGTCCGCTTGAGTGAACACAAAGTTTCTATAGGGGGAACGCAAAGGTTTTCATTTATTCCTGTGATTGCAAAGCAAAAATTTTCTTGCATTTTTGATTGATTAAAAATACCTCTAAAATAAAAGCTTTACACTAAACAATAAGATGTCTGAGATATAGATATAGCAGTTAGGGCATGTTCTCCAAAAAGAGCAGCGGTACTCATGGGTGACATGAATTCAGCTTGTAATTTCCTGATCTCATTTCTGCCCCCTTCTCCTATTCACGCTATTCATGTATAAAATGAAACAAAAAAAAAGCACACAAACCATCAACCTAACGTATGGCTATCCCAACGCATTCTCATCCTTTAGCGTCATATAGAACGCTATATGACAAAACGACGCTATACTACGCACATGGCACCCGTTATCGTTAATATAACACACGCTGTGATGGTTAGGTTTAGGTGTGGGGTAGGGTATGGTAGTCTCATATTACGCTAAAGGATTTATGACGCCTTGGGTTCGCGTGAATATTAACGATAAAGGGTGCCATGTGCGTAGTATAGCGCCGTTTTGTCATATAGCGTTCTATGTGACGCTAAAGGATGAGAACGGGCTGGCTATTCGCACAGTATTTTACTTTCCATGAGGGCAGTGGACAGGGAAAGTAAAAAAGGGGAAAAAAGCTTGACGCTGGATGATAAAAAAAACACGAAATCTGATCTGACTGTTCAGACTTTCCAAATCTGATTTTAATCGGATTTCAAACCACATACAGATGTGGTTTGTATCAAATCCCGTGTTTTTTTCTGCTGTTCAGATTACAATATTAGAAAAAAAATCTGATTCTTGCTGCCTGTCTGAACAAAGCCGATGTAAAAACATCTTGCTTGTCCAGCTTTTAAATGATAATATTTCATGTGCTAAATTAAGTCATCTGTAAGTTCAGAATGGTTCCAAAACTGGATGCATGAGGATAGAAATAAGGTCTCTCTTTTCCACCGTGGAATCATCCAATAACAAATCAGGTACTTTGTAAATGTTTTTAAAGCACTAACTCCTAAAAATATACCATAAACCACTCTAACCAGAAACCTTAAAAGACCTCAGAAGCTCTCTCTCACACACACACACACACACACACACACACACACACACACACACACACACACACACACACACACACACACACACACAGGTCCAGTGGAATGTACAAGATTAAATTCCTTCCCATATGCACTAAACTTTCTATTCACCACAAAGCCCAGGTTTCCAGAGTGACCGATCCTCTTTTAAGAACAAGTCGAGGTGTGTGTGTGTGTGTGTGTAAGTGGCTAATAGTTCATGCTGGTTTGTTGAACAAACCCCAGCAGGGTTCAAGAAAACACATTCCAGGAGTTAATGACCAAAATGAGGGTAAAATATTACATATTTACCACACCCTGGCATCCAGTGAGGGAATGAGAAAGAGGGAGTGAAAAGGGAAGAGAGACAGACAGAAGGAGGGAGAGGGAGAGAGAGAGAGAGAGAGAAAGTGATCGGGTTTATAAATCTGTGTGAGAGCAGGACAATGGCTCACTAGAGAGCTGACAAACATGCAAGAAGACATTCTTAAGACATTAAAGGCCAACAGAGGAGCAGTGTGTGCATGTGTGAGGCCAAGCTTTCTTTCTCACGACTCCCTGAAGAGGGTTTTTTGCTGCTTAGATTGAGCTCTTCGCTCTCATGAACACACACACACACTCACACTGGTGTGTGTAGTTGACAGTCTCACTCTCACACAGCTAGACTCCATCACCTCATGAGGACCAGTACAAGAGACTGCTGACAGAGAGATGGAAAGAGAAAGAGACAGACATAATAATGGAGAGACAGACAGACAGATAGAAAGACAAACGTTACATAGAGAAACAGACAAGTAATAAATAAATGCAGCCTTGGGGAAAGAAGGGAAAGAAGGAAAGAAAGAAAGAAAGAAAGAAAGAAAGAAAGAAAGAAAGAAAGAAAGAAAGAAAGAAAGAAAGAAAGAAAGAAAGAAAGAAAGAAAGAAAGAAAGAAAGAAAGAAAGAAAGAAAGAAGAAAGAAAGAAAGAAAGAAAGAAAGAAAGAAAGAAAGAAAGAAAGAAAGAAAGAGCAAGTTAGAGCAAGCAAGCGAAAACAAGAGCGAGTGAGCAAAAGAAAGAGAGATAAAAAATAAAGAGTGGGTGAAAGAGTGAGCGATTAAGTGAGAGAAAAAGCGAGCAAGAGAAAAAGCAAGAAAGAAAGGAGGTGTGACAAACAGCAGTGAGTATGAAAGCCAAAGAATGCCCTCTCTTTTCTCCCTGTCACGTCTCCAGCTCTCATGTTAGTGACATCCACTCCTGAAGGAAAAGAGATTTCACAGACATAAGAGCGCCTGGCAAGCACAATCAGATTTTCTGCGGATGCAAACTTGGATGGAGTCATTAGGGAGTCATGATTTCACATGCAGCTTTGTGAAATATTGTCCATCAGACAGTAAAAGAACATGATAGAACACTGTCAGGAGAGGCCAGTGGGCCATCAGAAGCCCGTGAGAGCTGAACATCAGATTATCAACTGAGATTCACAGAGAATAAAGCTGTATGGAATGAAAAAGAACCAGACAAAATGAGACTAGAGGAGAGATTAGTGCAGAGGAGATGTAGGGTCCAATGAAATCTGTTTTATTTTGTACTCAAATTCCATTTATTTTTTTCCCAAATTCCATTTTTTACGAGCCCATTC